CAGAAAATGGCTCGTTTAATGAACTGTATATCCTTCTCTCTCCATCCTGCCTCTTCCTCCATCCTTCATTCCGTAATGCAACTGCGATTTCATCAGAAATGACTCGCTGTCTGATCAATGGCCGACTCGTATCACTTAATCCTTGCGTAATGGTCGCTGGGGAACCGAACATTCCCGCGTATTATGTAAAACGAAGGTAATCTATTAATTTGTACCGTATCATCGATGGTCATCACGTGCTCTGCGTTAAATTAGGGCGATTGGATAGTTGGTGGATGAAGTGTTAATTGAAAGTAAGGCAGGCGAGTAGAATTTTCGATGCGCGAACATTCCGTCACGAAATTATCGTATTCCAGAATGCAAGTATAAATCTTCATTATCATAATCAAATCACCCACAAAACTTCTATATTTAATACTTTAAACTAAATTCCAAAAAACAAAATTAAAAAATATTTTACATCGTACAGAATCTCGTACAGTGTAATTATTCTATCGTATCATAATAAGAAATAATCACAATTTTAAAAGAAGAAAATAGTAGGTAAACGCGACAATTGAATTAAACGATCGAAAGAAATTAAAAAGAAAAAAAAAAATCCATCAACGTGAAATCGTGAAGAGAATTTCACTCGATCGAATAAAGCGAAATCTCTAAGGGTGAATCGGTTGCAGGGTTTTAGGGGCCGGTGTTAGAAAAACACGGGTTATTACGGGTCGACGAGTCGAAACAATGGACGAGGGAGCCAGTGGAAACGGTTCGTACGTGTTCAGACGAATCCAGGCCAGCCACTGATAATCCGAAAAGGGATCTCCCAGCGATTTGTTCCAGTCTCTCGATCCTCCCTTTCTCCGTCTTCCTCACTTCTTACCCACTTCTTTCTCTGTCCCTCTCTTTCCTATGTCATCGATAACGATAACGATTCGCTCGTCGACGCATACCTAACACGATAATTTACGATCCTCCTCTGTTCATATCGAATCGAGTATTGTTCTCAAGATCAAGCGACAAAACTTCTTTTGAAAACAAAAGATGCATTATTTATATATAAAATCGTAGAAAGCTAGAGTAGAGCATAAAATTCGAAGAGAAATCTTTTACGAAACGCAAAAATTCAAGACGTGCCAAAACGATGAGATGTGTGCAACAATAAAATAAAATCCAAACGCGTTGTTGATCCAAGCAATAAAAAGAGGAAACTCGCAAACTTTCCGAAAAAAGATCGAAAAGAACGATGATAATCGGCCGAGTTTAGTTTCCACAGAGAATCCGGCGAGAATAAACATTTTCTCTTCACGATCCTCTCACCTCTGGGACGCATTAACCCCGCATGAAAAAAAGTCCCGAGATACACTCGCGTGATCCACTCGAAAAGTTTCGCAAATGGCGACAACTTCCGGATGTAATCGGGATCAGGACGCTTAGGCCTTAGACTTCGATCCTCCCCGTGGAATTATCCCCGAGATCGTGGAAAGTGGGACGATAGTATGAATTATTGCTCTTTCCTATATCCAGTATATCCCAGCTAAGCTTCCACTAAGTTTCGAAGTTTTCTTTGATTAGCAGAAAAACCGTTGTGCAGGAATACGTATTTAGTTGAATGAAAGAAGAAATCGAATGATTATTTACTTTTGAAATTGTTAATCATATTTTACTCAAATATAGCTTTGGAATGATCAGTAATGATCTATAATTGTATAATTTACCCCACCGATCAATCTTAAAATTCGAAGTCGAGGAAAGGCAAAAGCTGATTCGATTCAATTCGGTGGACGCGAGGAAGGAAAACGTGGAAGGAAAGAAAAAGAAAAAGAGAGAGATTTCCAATTTCCATCTCATTATCTCAATTTCGATCGTTCATCAACAGATCCGTCTGGATCGAGAGATCCACCCCCGCACGATTCATTCGCCGATAATTAGCCTAATGACAAAACGAGGGGAGGAGTAGAGGGACGACAAACAAGAGGGCGAGAATTCGGCCGTTGCCTCGCGTTATTTCCGACGAATTACGCCATTTGATCGTACGCCTGGAAACGTTTACCCTCTCCCTGTTTCTCTCTTTGCGTGTCCGCCAATATCCTGTGATTACAAACTCGCGGTTTGTAAGATCAACTCGACTGAGAGCGAGTGTCGTTCGAGTTTATACGTCATAAACGAATTCATTCATTATACGATATTTATCCTTGCTTTTAAGATTCGATTGCGATTATTAATTGAGTGATTACGCATAAAAGAAAAAATCTTTTCGCTTAATAATTATTATGAGAGGAAAAATTAAATGTATCGATCGTGTGGTTAATTATTGAAAGAATTGAGAAACAATTGATATATTACGTTATATAATATTGAATAAAGTTGAGTTAGATGAAGAAAATAAGAAAGAAAAATTAGGATAATTTTATCTAGCTCAGGTTGGAACGAAGTTTTGCACGGAATCCGCGGTTTTCGGTTGTTCGACTTAGAATCGAATTACGCGATACGATCTCGAACGGAGGAGGATTTTCACGCGAGTCAGGATACACGTTGAAGAAGGGGGGGGGAGGAGGGTTGGAAGAGTCTTCTTTCAGGGTATCCATTGTTTCCGGTACAAAAGGGGCCAACGGGTCGAACGGTGGAGACGGCACGTCGAGGAGTCCATTGTTCCGTTTCAGGATCGCGCGAAAGACATCGCCTCTCAAAAATTCCACCTTCTCCGAGTCCCACTCCAGACCTGAGTGGATCGAACTTCAGGAGGAGGAGGAGGAGGAGGAGAGATACTTCCATATACTTGCTTGCTCGCCTCGAATTTTCGTGTTTCTTGGCAATAAAAGATTATCGTGCATTTATTTATCTCTTCTTGTTGACACGTTGCCAGATTTTAAGGACATCGATTAAAAAATTTTTAACGAATTTTTGGATTTTTTTTTCCAGCTAAATCGTGTGAATTAAATATGCATGGAAAGTATATAATTCAAGTTTAATATTTAATCGCGACCAAGGTGACGAGAATAATTCAAAGAGAAGAAGATTAAATTCAAAAATTTCTGTCTTTTAAAAATTATTACAATTAAATCGAATAATTAATGTACTTAATCCAGTCG